TTCAAAACAAACAAACAAACAATTGACCATTACTTTTAAAGTGCACCGACGGCCCCAATTTCTGGTGCGCTTTTTTTGCGGTAATGGGGTTAATTGTGAACCAGGAATCCTCGGATCCACAATCTGGGCATGCTAACCGCGCCTAATCCAATCTTTACTTCGACTACGTATGATGAAAACTATCATCTGTTAACTAAGTCTTTGATTCCCAATACGGGTACATTACGTATCTACTGATTTTGTATACGTCGCTTTTTTTTTATTAACATGAGTACATTTCGGTTCAGCGATTTAAAATAATTAATTAAAAATACTTATTTCTATTGTACACCGCTTATATCGTGTGTTTAAGTGTAATTGCAAAATTACATAACTGGCTATCTACTATACTTCTTATTTCATTCCTTCCTTCACGGAACCCCAACCCACCCTAGATGAAAGTGACCAAGTTCGTAACCGTATCGTTAATGTGAAATTGTAAATAAATATACAAAAATATTGTGCTGTTTATTTATTCAAAATTAAACGTAAATTTATTTTCATATTAATCATACAATCTATACTAATAAAACAGACTGCGTGTTAGTGTATCAGTCAGTCAGCGCCATAGCTACAAGAGGAAAGAACCTAGAGACCTGAAACTTTGCACAGATACTAAAGGAATTCTTAGGGTGTTCACCTGGATATTATTTTTATTATACACTGACTTTTCTCTACGTTAAAATACTTATTTTTTTATGTGCGAGCTTTCGGCCCTATTACCGGAGCCTTCATAGGGCAACAATGTACTGGGCGATAAAACTTTGTTTAAAACAGGTATCTAAGCAACAGTCGTAACAATAACTGACATCTGATTATGATGAATGTAGAATACTAGCATATAGCCCGTCATAAATGACGGGGCAAGTACTACCACCCCCACCCTATAGTATACCCTAATCTCACATTTCATAGCTAACTGAAATAAATACATTTTGCGAAATCGAGCTTGACCAACAAAGAGGCAGAAAAGTGCAGTCGAGGAAGTCAAACGTCGGTAAATTCGTTTATGAGCCAATCAAAATTAAGATCATTCATGAAATGAATTCGTGGCGTATTCATAGTATAATTACTGGTTAAAATCAGTTAGATTAACAACCTCTAATGTATAGAAAAGCCAGTGTGTTTTGTTAACGCTACGTTCCAACAATGTCTTTTATATCAAAAGTATAACCTAATATTGTTGTTAATCTATGTACTGAAAGTATAAAATGAAATGTATAGACAACAAAACTGGAAAAATATTTGTTGATTTCTTGA